AATTCAAAACGGACTATTTGATCCAAAGTTCTTTGTTTATAGATTTAAGGGCTGATTCGCCCATATATATAACTTTACGAACTTTTATACAAATCTGCTAATAAATTATACTATTTTTAGTATTAAAGCAAGGTTAGCATAAATAAGGATATTTATTACATTAATTTTTATCATTGATCAGATTTTAGCCGGTCGGTCAAGGGTCTCTGACCGACCGGTATCGGTTACGGTTATGACCGGTCATGACCGGTCATAACCGTAACCGTTGCCATCCCTAGGTACTATGTTACATATACTGGGAGCTGGCATTAATTTTTGAACACTAGAAGCAGGCTTGATTAAATGCCACTGGTAATATGTAATACGTAGTTCATTAAGTTTTGTTTGAATATTATGTGATATTAAAGCAGGCATATAATTTATGTAGTGTTCAAAATTAATGACACTCTATATTATAAATTGTTTTTTTTTCTATTCATTAAATTAAATTTATTTTTAAATTTAAATTTTAGATCGTTATAATACATTAGAAATTGAGTTTGATATTATAAATTCTAATAATATTTAATAACATAAATTTATAAAATATAGAAAATGCGTATTTAGTATTACTTTCAAGCTCGGGTCAAGATATAAATTATTTAGATAGGGACATACAATATAAAGTTTTTGGATATATTAGATTTGATAAATGTTTACTTTTACCTATAGAAAATTGGTAATATTCATATTAAATAAACAATATTATATTTTATTTTAACAGCTAGGGCAATATTTATTAGAATCGCTAGCTAGTAAATACAGTACTAAAATTGGATTTATCATCTTTAATATTTTAAATTCAATATATCGATGTTCGTGATACAAATACTAATACTGATGATTGTATAACGTAATACATTTACAGATCGATCAACTCATATTTGAAACTATAAATATTCGATAGATAGATAATTCAAACTGGTAAAAAAAAAAAGATGACTACTTTCTTAGATATAGTTAAAAATTGTGATAATTTTCCATACCCAGATGAAAAAGTAGATGAAGAAAATTTGATGCTCATCACAGTACCACTGCTGCTAGATAATGTTAAAATAGGACTTATACCCCAGACCACAATTCCGGCGTTAAAAAAATATAATGAACAACATAAAAAGCCTTGTCCTTTCATTATTGAAGATACATTTATTACATTTGCATCACACTTGAATACATTTGAGGAAAGAACGCAAGCAATAAAAAATCTCTTGAAAACATGGAGAGAGGAAAAAACCTTTCCAGCATTAGAAGGCGAGTTAAAAAAAATTTCAAATACTGTTTATAAAACTTTTTTTTTTTAAAAAAAAATTTTTTTAATTAAATAATATTTAAATAATATTTAAAAGGATGGCGAGATGAATTGTACCCAGTTTATGGACCATCTAAATTGGCATTTGTTATAGAACGATCAGCGACACCATTATTTGGAGTATTAACATTTGGTATACATTTAAGTGCATATATTAGAACACCAGAAGGAAAGCTTAAAATGTGGATAGCAAAAAGATCAAAAACAAAACATAAATGGCCAGGATGTTTAGATAATACAGTAGCAGGAGGGATATCGTATATGTTAACAGCTACAGAAACAGTAGTTAAAGAGGCGATGGAAGAAGCTAGTTTACCAGCAGAGATTGCAGAAAAGGCAGTACCAGTTGGAGCACTCACATATTTTTTGGTGACAAAGAACGGATTACAGCCTGAAGTTGAGTAAGTATATAATAATAAAAAATATATTTTATGAATATTAGATTAATAAATAAATTTTTATTAAAATAGATATGTTTATGATCTTGAACTTCCTCTCGATGTAAAACCCCAACCGCTCGATGGAGAAGTTGAATGTTTTTATTTATGGGATATAGATGAAGTATATATTTTAAATTATAACTTGCATAACGATCTCTTGTCGATTTTATTTAAATTATTTTATCTGTTATGCATTTGTATTTTTTTAAGGTTAAAACCCGTATCCTTGCTGATGAATTTAAACCTAATTGTGCATTAGGTAATCCGATTTTTCTTTATACTGTATTGATGTATAATTTGTTTATATAATTTCGTTATTTAAACTTTTTCTTTTTCATATCAAAAATAGTAATAATTGATTTTATGATTCGTCATTCTATCATTAATCCGGAAAATGAACCATCATATCTTGAGATTTTAAATAGACTTCATAGACGACTTGAGTTTCCTACTCCATCCTCTTAAATAGCTTATGGAAAAGCTTATCATCGTTTTTACGAAATCAATTTAGTATCTTTGATAATAATTGATGGAAGAATTTAATTTAAATGTCTTTGGATATACCACATTCTCGAATGATATTTTGAATGATATTTTGAATGATGTTCTTGAATGATATCATGAAAGAAAATACAACACACCCAATATGAATATATCTGATATTTTTAAAATTTCTACGTACTGTACGTACATACGTGTATTCGAATGAAAGTTGTTTATTTATTTAGAAGTAAATTTAAATCGGCGATAAATGATTCGTTATTATTGGAGGATTGCATCATGTCGTTATTATTTAAAATAAATTACTTTTTGTCATTATAAAAAATAAAATAAAGTTTCTATTTTGACTGTATCTGTGAAAAAAGCAGGAATTCATCAATAGTGCTAATGAAATGTAGAATGCAAGACAGGTGTTTATAAAATTTAATACTGAAATCTAGGAATATTCCATTGATTTATATAAGGTGATGCCAAACTTTTAATATAAAATGATTTTTTGACCTAAAATCCATCTTCAATTGAAGTTTTAAAAACTGTGGCTAAAGCCTGTAATAACGATATTTACGCGTGTTGATAATATTTTTATAATATTAGTACGATAAGCAGCCATAATTCTAGGTTAGTTCACACAAACCACTTCAAAATTAACGAATATTTTAAGCTGAAGTTTATTTGAAATAGATTTATCCGTTTTTTAAATCATTACTATTGATACTCTTTCAAGAACCATTGTATTTTTAAACGCAATAGTAAGGAATATAAAACCTGATACGTAATATATAAAAGTTCTGGTAATTGTTTGACCCCACACGTGCACGTTAAATTATTACTGTATTTATTAAGCAAATAATAAATAGTCTTTAAATTTGAAGGGACACGAGTTGAAAGATATTATGCTTTAAGTACAGTATATTTAAGAATAAATCTATAGAAAATAAACAATTCCTTATAACTTGGCGTAGTGTGTTTTGGCTTAGCTTTATTTTTTTTTAAAAAAAAAACAACTGACGTTAATAAATTTGGAAACATGCAAGCTTTAAAAAATTTAAAATATATAGAAAATAAAATGAATTAATAATCATAATAAATGAATAAATAGGCTACCTCGTATGTTGCATCAGGTTAGTCTATACAACAAAGCTTTTCAATTTATTAAAATAACAAAAAAAGAAAATTGACATGAATTAAAATTCAACGCAGGCAAACAAACCCAAATTAACGCCTTTTTTTGGATTTTTTGCTAATTCCGTGTTTTGACTGATCATGCTTTCTGATATCTTCGAGTTTCAAAAAAACTCTATTACAAATATCACAGAAGTAGGCAAGTTTTTTTGGAATGCTTTCAGGGCTTTCGACATTCTTTTTTTTGTTGGTATTATGTTCTTCACATAAAACTTTCTTAAGATCTTTAACTTCTTTGCCACATGCTTTGCATACGGCTAGTTTGTGCTTATCCCGTTGATGTTGATGCAGATCAAATGCTGCACCAAATTCTTTATCACATTTTTGACAATGAAAATGATTTTTTTCGTCGTTATTTTGAGTGATGTGTTGTTCGATAATATACTGTAAAAATTTTACACAAAGGTTACAGGATGAAAGGTTACAGGATGATTGTTGTGAAGGTTGATGAAATTGATCAAGGTTTTTGATATGTTCAGGATGGTGGATCAACATTTTTTTTTTAATAAAAAAATTTTAGTGAGTTTACTTTTATGTAAAAAAGAACTTTCAGGTGAAAGTTCAAACAGTCGCTAAAAAAAAAACTTCTTTTTATTTATATTAAGTGATTGTTAAATTTATATCAAGGGGGTGCACTAAAAAAGCATAATTGTCTTGAGCTTCATGATTAATATATCACAAGTTGCGGAATTTATTCTTTTTCTGTAATAGTATTGGTTCCTTGTTGATCGCAGTAATGATAAAATATAGTCACAATGACATCTGATAAAAAAAAAAAGGTAATCTTCTTTTGTTTTCGTTGAATTATGGTACAATATCTTGCATAAATTAAAATCATACGCCTGTACTATATCGTTATTGTACCCAAATTATAAAATTATAAGTCCGTTAACCTCCGATGTAATTATGAATATCGATATAGTATAATGTCAACTTAATTAAAATCAGAAAAATATAATACGTACATATCAGTATAGATGAATCTGATTGATCTTGAACGACAGGATAAATGAATAATACTAACTATTCGGATAAATTTTTTTAAATACTGTAATGCGGTTATTTTAATGGGGTTATATGATTGAGCGCCATCGTATTCTGATATCTGATACCTCCATAATACATAAATTATCTCTGTCGAATTATCCTGTTATCGAGATTTATGAACGATACAAACTAAGTTTAGTTCAAGGTTGTTCTTACGTTACACATAAATAACATATATTGATATAATTTTTTGTTTAAACGTTAATTATCAGAATGTCTTTGTTGGTCACATATAGTAGGTATGGACAATATATACGGATAAATTACGTTTACACATTTTTGGACTCTAAACTCTAGAACGATGGATCTATAGTGCGTTGCTGTTGCTATAAGGGGTGTAAGGATTTCCGAGGGGCTGATGCAGGAGTCGATGATAAGGAGGGTTGATGGCAGATGCTATGGTCGAACGATCGAGTTTTAATGTGATACCTACATATCAGTCATACGATTTTTAACATCTAGAATTTTATGACTCTTACTAAAATTATACAAAATTTTTATCTGAAATCAAAAATTATTACTGAAGTTTTTGCAAGTTAAACAATGTTAAAAAACATAACAGATAAAAAGAAACCTTCTTATGAAATAACGTTTTGTCTATTTTTGGTAAACTTTTTTTTTTTTGATTGATTACGAATATAAAAACAGAATGTATGATTTTATTCGAATATACATTGCGTATTTAATTTAAAAGGTTTTCAATTATTCAATATTCTTTCTACGTGTATATAATTCATACACTCTCGAATTTTCAAAGTTAGTTTTCAACAATGACGTTAACATGTTTCATATCTAGGAATTCTTGTATAACCTTTCGTTTCTTTCACCTATCGCTTGATGACTTGATTAAGTATTGGTCAACTTCTAAATGTGATTTTTGACTGTGATATCTCTTATCGGGGCGGAAGTCTTCATGACGAATCAAAACGGTCGGACTAAAATGAAATTTTGTATAGGTAACTAGCATACTAAATTTGTCAATTACATGTCAAAAGAATAAAATAAATTTATAACATAAAAATTATTAAGTCTACTTACGTACCATGCCTGGCATTAGTATTGATTATTATGATTGACTGATAAAACACATCAGCTAGCTAAGAAGCTAAGCGACTGTCTAAACGGCTAGCTTAATCAGCTTGAAACACCAGATTTAAGAATAAATTTGTTAAAGAATAATTCATTGGTAAAATTTTGATTTAACTTAACGATAGTCAAAATACACAATCTCAACACAAGAATTCAATTCTTCGGTGAATTTAATCTCAATAAGGTTTATTAAGCTATAAGTCGAATTCTGAAAACAAAAAAAGCTTGTCACGATTAAAGAATTAGATGAAAGTAAAATGTGGAACACCAAACATGCTTGTCTTTATTAGAGTTTCGATTACTCATATCCGGCGTTTAAAATTCAAATTTGGTTTTATGTTCTCAAAAAGAACAATTTACAAGTTCTTATTGTTCTTTATATAGAAAAATTAAAATTTTTTAATATTAAAAAAAATTTTAAATGTTCTTGAATAGTAAAATCTATGTTCTCAATTTGTGTTTGTTCTCTGAAAACACTGAGAACATCGAGATTTTTAAACACTGCGCACCAATATATAGTACTTTAAATTTTTATTTATTTTTTTTTACTAATATGGGGGTGAGTTAGTGATTGGCGTCGTAATCATGTGATGCTAATTGTCACATGATACAATATATAAAAATTAACAATTAGATTGTTGATTTTTATATATTTTACCACGTGACAATTAGCATCACATGATTACGGCGCCAATCACTAGGCAAATTTTTTATAATATAATTTTTTATAACTTTAAACAAGAATAACTTAAAAAACTTTGACCAAATTTAATAAAATTTTTTTTAAATAATTGTTACAAACTTGTAGAATTAATTTAAAAAAATTTTATTAAATTTGATTAAGTTTTTTGTTAAGTTATCCTTGTTTAAAGTTTTTAAAAACTTATTAAAAAAATTTGCTTGGTTTGACTCAACCCCATATATTCTTAAAAATCTATTTTATTTGGTAAGAGGAAAAAATATTGTTTGCTGACCTAATCAAATTGGTTTATTTTAAAATCAAAAAAAAAATTTATTAGCTTGATAGGCACATTCAAGCCATCAAATGTTAAAAAGATCCGATCCCATAATATATCTTAAATCCTAGTGGGTTAACTAATAAAATATAGCAATATAGTCAAGTAATATAGTCAAATAAATAATAAGAATACATGTAAAACCAATAGAAAAAAATAGTAAAAATAAGGATAACGTAAAACCAATAGAAAAAAATAGTAAAAAGAAGGATAACGTAAATCAAATAGAAAATAAACATGTAAATCAAATAAAAGAATAATCGAAAATAATATAAAATTAACAAGCGAGATGACTATATTGAAAAAAAATGAATATAAAGGAATAGCAAAATTTACGCATCTATAACGAAAAATAATGAATCGATGAAAATTTGTGACGAAAAAAAATTTGGTTATAACGAAAAAAAAATATATAAAACTTAAGTCAGTGAAATATACGATAAAAAATAAGTTAATTCTATGTTTAACATAAATAGCTTATGGATGGCACAAAACAACACAAATTCTATTGGCTGCAAAAAATAAAAATAAAAAAAATAAAAAGCTAATGAACTGTTGTTTGTTCATATAAATTTTTTTCAAAAAAAGATTTATGTTAAATAAGAATTAAATTGGCATGGTGACGAAACAAAAATTTGTTTATAACGAAAGAATAGGCATGATTGTATAACGAGTATAACGAAAAAAAAAAAAATTAAATAAGAATTAAATCGACATGGTGACGAAACAAAAGCTTGTTTATAACGAAAGAATATGCATGACTGTATAACGAAAAAAAAAAATTAAATGACAAATAATTCCTCAAGGAATTCTTCAATACTTAGTTTCCATACAAATTTGGTTAAGCAGTAGATAATACATAATTGTATTGAAAATGGGTCGTTCTACCGAAATCTTCTGTATTATGAAAACTTTGCAAATCTTTGTGGCCGAACTCTTTCGAATGTAAATCTCTGTGAATAAGCTCTTCTAAATGAACATCCTGGTGTTTATTAATAAGCTTTACTAAAAATTCAAGCATGAATTTTGTTTTTGGACGATTTACTGGGTCTTGATGCCAACAACGCTTCATAAGTTCCAGAAATTTAGGCGGCGTATCTTTTACAGGCGTTTCTCTTGCTCCTTCAATGATCAGATCAATTACACTTTCTAGATTATTGTAAGATCCAAAAGGAATTTGGCCACTTGAAATTTCCCATAAAATTACGCCCAAACTATAGATATCAGATTTCTCGTTAAGTTCGTATAATTGATCATTTAAGTATTTAGGATCAACAAATGCAGGCATTCCATAACCATATAATTTTAAATGGTTTGGTGCCTCGCCCATCGGTTTAGAAAGCCCAAAGTCAGCTATCAACATTCTTCCTTCGTGGACTAAGATGTTTTTAGTATGCTAAAAAAATATTACAAAAATATGTTTAAGTGATAAACATAACATTCATACTGTACATCATATAATGATAATATAAGTAATCATACAAGATCTCTATGAATAATACAGCTCTTATGTAAGAAATTGAGGCCACATGCTATGTTCTCGGCAATACGAAGTTTATCTGTCCACTCCAATCGTGAAAAATTCTTTGCTAAATAATCTCGCAAGTTGCCACCATCCGCAAACTGCATGATTGTATTATACATTCCAGATGTATCTATAAAGTTAAGCAACCAAATTATTAGAGCTATTAATCTCAAGAAATTGTATATAGATAGGGAATAGTTCACCTTTAGTAAGACCATAAAATTGTGCAATATTCGGATGAAAACCGACTTTTCGTAATAATTTAAGCTGTAATGTAGGTAAACCATTTTAATATTGAAAAAAATTGGCAAAAGAATATATTTAACCATACCTCATTAATAAATTTAATATTATCCTCTGATTCAACATCAATTTTCAGACGTTTAAGAGCAACTGTTGTTTCGCAATCCTCCCAATCAGCTTGGTAAACATTTCCAACCCTATTTTTGCCAATTTTTGTAAGTTTGGTAAAATCATCAAAATCATAGCAATTAATTAGGTCTGCAATATCTTGATGAATAAACGCTTTTTTTTCACGTTTTCCATTTCCATTATCATGTGTGTCCTTTTCAGGAGTTGAACCAGAAGTCCGCCTGTCTTTATTAAAGTTGTCAAATACGGGCTGACGGGTTGTATACTAAAGTCATTAAATGCAGAAATGGAATTAATGACGTCTATAGTGATTTACTGTAAAAAGTTCGGTTACTTACTTGCTATGGTGACATAAATATTTGGATAGAATTATGTCAGTTTTATAATGGACTTATCGTGATTTGTAAAGTGATTTGTTGTAAAAAATTCGTTTATACACTTACATC